ATATTTGGAGGCGAACTTCGACATTTTCTTCTTCTTAAATTGGTCGTCCACATCGAACTTGCTCTTGCCGGTGAAAAACTCCAACCCCGGAATTTGCTTAAAATCGGCTTTTATATACGTTTCGTCGTTCATCACACAGCAGCCATATTTTGTCAGCATCTTCTCTTAGAGCTTCCGTGCCCGAGTTTTAGCCGTCGATTGTTGCCGCTCATCGCGGTTTGGGAAGTTCTGTACCTTGTATGTATGTAGTCCAGCTCTCTTTTTTGCATTCTGGACGTAGCTCTGCGACATGCCGATCTTTTTAGCCAAATCACGGTTTGAGACGTTGGGATTTGCTTTAATCATCCGCTTCACCTTTCCCTCCGTCTTTTTGTTCTCCGGTCCCGGTTTTCTTCCAGCTCCTTTGCCGTGGTCCAACGTCAACCGCTCCTGGAACCACTTCAACACTATGGAAACGGTTGAATGGTGAATGTTCAACATTTTTCCCAACTGCCGGTGCGACAGGTCAGGAAATTCCAGGTGTTTGGAAAGAATTTGTTCTCTGAACTCGCGTTGGTTCACCTCCATTTTCGTTGAATCGAAAAACACGACTTCGAGTTTGACAGCATGTACACAATACACATCAATGAGAAAGTGTGCAAAATTTGGTTGATTTTTACCCAATGGTAAAAAAGTTATGCCCTGTTGAATGTGTCGCAATAATTTCGTGTTCGCCCTTTATGCAATTCAGTCTACACAAAGATTTTAATGCTGATGTTAATTCTCCAGCAAAATTGCCCTCACTATTCTCAGCTCTGATCCGCAGAATCACGAAGAATCGAGAGAAAAAAAAAGCTACGAAGAGCTGTCATCCTGAACAGCTCCCAGTGAATCATTCGGGTCGATGATTCAGATCCGGAGCTGAGCTGTGAGGTGGAGAGCTGCATTTCACAGTTCGGTTATCTTCTTTTGTGCGGATGTTCCGCTCCCCCAGAGAATGATGGGAAGAGAAATGAGAGCACATATGCTGCAGCAATAACATCAGAAATAAGAACCGGGAACGTAAATACATTGGATAATATCAGTAGACATTTTACATAGTGTAAAACATGTAAATATGTCTCTCTCCCATAAAGTCGCTTAGAAGTTTGCTTTTACCGTTGATGATATCGATCACATGTTATATTACGCGCGCATCTTGGTTTACGCGGTGGCTGTTCAATGCGTAAGTAGAGTGTGGAGTTGTTTTAGACTTGTTATATCAGTGAGCTGATGAGCTGCGGTTCCTGAAAATTAAATCGCGGGTTATCAGCTCACTTTAGTGAATCAAGTTTTTAGAACAGCTTGGGAGCAGATCGCAAATCTCTAATTCGGATCCAGAGCTGAGCTGTGAGGTTGTGAGCTGCATTTCGGTTTTCTGTTATTTGCTGTTGTGCGGATCTTCTGCTCTTCCAGAGAATTATTAAAGGAGAGGTGAGAGCACATATGCTGGAGAAGTAACATTAGCAATAAGAGCCGGGTACGTAAATCCTACATAGGATAATACCAGTAGAAATTTAACATCGTGTAACACCATACAGCCACTTGGAAGTTTGCTTTTACCGTTGATGCTATAGATAAGCAGGCACATGTTGTATTACGCGTGCATCTTGGTTTACGTGGTGGCTGTTCAATGTGTAAGTGGAGTAATGAGTCATTTTCTGAAAACTTCCGCTATAAGTATGATGGAATGGTTTAGCCTCGTGATTTCAGTGAGCTGATGTGCTGCGGTTCCTAAAAAATGAACCTCGGGTCATCAGCTCACTTTAGTGAATCGGGTCTTTAGAACTGCTCGGGAGCGGATCGCCCATATCTAGTTGGGACGGTTGGGGACAAGCTCTTATTGCACATCCATTTACGATTCTATACAGCTGTTATCCTGCATTTTAGTTGTGTGTCAACTTGAAAGGCTCTTATTCAACCTTTTCCCGGTTATCCAATATTCACTACACAGCTATCGCTTGAAGCCAGGTTAAATATTGTTTTCGTTTTTAGTTAGAGGCAGGCATGGAAAATCATTTGCATTCATTTCGTGCATTCATTTACATTCATTTGCCCCTAACTTTTTTCATCAACAGAATTCCGCAAAATGGTGTATGAAGCTTTTGTAGGTTTTGTTATTAGCTACAACTTTTGCCCAAAACTCAAATCCGTATCTCTTATGTATGACGAACCAGAGCGAATAGAAGCCACTACTGTTTTTCAGTGAATGTAATTTACATTCACTGAAAAACAGTAACAGTTCTGCCCGCTCTAATTCGTGATGCATAAGAGATACGGATTTGAGTTATGTGCAAAAGTTGTAGCTAATAACAAAATCTACTAAAGCTCTATACATCATTTTGCGGAATGCTGTTGATGAAAAAGGTTAGAGGCAAATGAATGTAAATGATTGCATGAAATGAATGTAAATGATTTTCCATGCCTGGTTAGAGGAATGTATTAAGTATATTTTCCAGCGAATTTAATTAATCGAAATTTGTTACAAAAGCACACCAACTTAGCTACGCAAACACAATGAGCTGAAGTAAAAAAAAAACCTACATGTCCTTCTACAAAGCTGAGTAGAGGCTGTATAATAGTGCAAATGATTCACTTTTCTCGGCTAGTTAATTCAGCTTTGTAAAGAAGCAAAGTAAAAGCTGTAAAACTGTACACGTCTAAAAATAAACCTTTTTCACTGTCCAAAGTAGCGCTAACAAAGTTTATTAGCTGAGTACAAGCTGTTTAGTTGTTGTATAAGCACTTTTGCTTATGATATGAGCAAGAGTGGTAGGTTGTGTAGAAGCCATCAAATGAGTAATATATTTACTTTATCAGCTTTGTTTTGCAGCTAAACGTTGAAAAATGATTAATATTTGCATAGAAGTGACATTAGCGTTTATTGGCTGCAGTTATTCAGTGCGACTGACAAATTGAATGATGGTTGTGAAAAAGTTGAGTAAACGCTCTCCAAAACTTTTTTCCGCTTCATTACAGCCCAACGCTGGAAACGTTGGCTTATAAAGCTGGAAATGTTCGTTGGGTCCCTTCTGCATTTGCCTCAAATATTCCGTAGATTTCCCCAGTAGTCCTTGTGGACTTGCTTTGGAGATCATTTGGATTCATCCATAAGGTCCTCTAGATTAACCTTTGATTTTCACCAGGAGTTCCTGGAAATGAGACCATGAGACTCTTTGATAATGCTCCTGAAAATCCGAGGAAAGAATGGTTCTTTGATATTATTTCAGAAATTTGTCCCCGAGATTCTTTGTACCGGCCGTTTTCTGAAATTTATTTAGAATTATCTTAAAATTTGGACAATTTATCCATGAGATTCCAGGTGAATACAAACCCACGTGGTACTCTGGAATTTCCTTAAACATCCTCGATGGTTTTTGAAACATTATCCAGGAGTGCTCAGAGACTCTCTGGTAATGCCTTCAGAAATGCTGGGAACATGACCAGCAAATTCTCTTAACGTTTTTGAGGTCATTCTCTACCTTCACTTAACACTTTCAGGAGATCCTTATGACTCGATCTGAAAACCTCCTGGGGTTGTCCTCCAAAGCTAGCATGAAATATGTTAAGGCAAGCACTAGAGTTTGAACATACCCTTGAAACCTCGTAGGCTTTAAATTCAACTGATTTGGCTCTAAAAATGCCCTCAAAGTTATACCAAAGAGTCCTTGAGGATCACCGAACTTTTCCTGAAGACCATCTTTGTTTAAAACCCTCTCAATTATAACTCATGTAACTCAATAATTTCCCATAGTAATTCACTGCAATTTCCATACAAACTTCAATTCATTAACGCAACCTCTAAACCTTCATAAATCTTTACATTTTTTTTAATATAAACAATTTCTGTGCAAGTGCCTTGACCCTAAGTAGATTATATCAACCTTAACAAAACCACCACTTGTTCTTACTATTTCTCTGTAATGTACTGTCACTGACATACGAATACAATAAATATAACACAGTATCATCTGCCTCTGCCATGGCAGGAAGGTCGGAATCATTATCGTCTTTTATTCATCAAATCACAATGTAGGAAAGGGTCCTGACCGTGCGCGATCAAACATGCTTTGGGGTATTGAATCGAACCTAAATACCAAAATGAAGCACCCTAATGTGCATGGATATTTGAGTAGCTCAAAATGTGGCTAGTTATGGTAACATGGAAATATCCTAAATAGAACGTAACCTATCACATTAAAGACAAATGCCCCAATAATCAATTCAAATGCACAACCGGCTATCTGAATCATTGAGAAATGACCAATTCCGCTATACGACATTTATCAATTTGAACAAATTTTTAAAATGAAATGTGTATCTCCTCATGACTTGTTATTTTAAAAAAATGGTAAATGGTAAAATTACGACTGAATAAATGAGTAATGCCATATCGAATTATCGGTCATCCCAAGCCGCAGTTCTGGTTTTATGATGATTCTCTAGACATGATTTAGACTTGTAGAATGCTATACAATCTTGATAAAACTGCCAATGCTACTTGGGATATTTTTTTAAATCGATTGGTGGACTATTTGTCTGACACTCAATTTGAACTTTTAGTGCTACAACTAGCATAGATGTTCTAAAAAGTTATTCAGTTCATGCATTGATGGAAGCAATTCCAATGGAAAGAGGCCTGTTCAACAATTTCCCTAGTCGCTTGATTACAATCATTCCTTATTTGACCAATTAAAGCAACTCCTCATTATAACTTATTTTCCACTACGCAACTGAGAGCAGTTACACTGTTTGCCGTAAGCCCTAAGGATCCACAAAATGTCCAACGAATGTCAGTTGACCATAAGACCAGTAAACTAAAATGCAAATTTGCTTCTTATGAAATCAACCAAGCGAATAATTTTCCAGACTAACAAAAAAAGATCAAACCACTTTTTTCTTCGAATAAACATCATCGAAGTTTTCCGTTTATCTTGTTACTTTTCGGTGTTTTCTGCACCGAGAATCACTTGTTCTGTTACCTTTTCCGACCGCTCTGCTTGATTTCTCCGCTAAATCCGTTTTCAGGGGGCACAGGAAAAGTTTTTCCAATCCCACTCACACCCCCCACACACACACACACTCACACACAGTTAACTGCACTTCGTGGGAAAAAATCTATACTTCTTCCACCCGAGCACAAATTACCCACCGTGGGGTCACACCAATACCGTCACCAATCCTGGTTAGCCACTTCCTTTCTCAGTAGTCATCAGACCCACTTGGCTACTTTTGAATTCAATTCAACTCGCATTAAGTAAAAGCAGCAGTAGCTCCACCACTGCTGTTCGAATGTCCTTTTCCTAGATGGGCCCCTCCCTCACTGCCACCACTGTTGGCACGCTTTGTTCACATGCACTCGTGCACAATTGCACACCCTCCCGGAGACCCCCTTTCAGGATCTGATTCCCAGTTCACGACCCATCATCATTCGATTACACTGAGTAACACACGGAACCGGTGCGGGCGATGGTGGTCACGTGTGGTCGCACATTCGCAGCAGTCACTCGATTCACATATAGTAAGGTGTAGTTTTTCTCCTCCGATTGTAATCACAGGTTGGGAGGCTGTCGAAGGGGGTGGAAGGCAATGCCAAAAGTTTCTTATCCTTCCTTGTAACACAGTGGCTCTTTTTACTTGGGACAATCGCAGGCATTACACACTCGGACGACGGCTCGAACACTACTGGCGAGCACGGCTCTCAGTAACTGCTTTGGCACTGACTACAGGCACTGACGGACAACGTACCAACTGATGTCGGATCCGTATGCTAAACAAAGAGAACATAGAGAGCATAGAGATTGAGAGTGCGGTGAAAATCGATGAAAACTCCGATGGCGCTCAGAAGGATGCTTTTCGTCGAGAGTCGTTATGATGAGAGCTTAGTGTGGTATGGCAGCAGCAGCAGCAGGAGAAGTGAACTTGGTGCGATGCACGTGTCTTTGTTTGCGTTGGGTGGTGGTGTAGAAGATGTTTGGATGCTTTTCCGACTATGGAATGGTTCGGAAAATGGAACCAAGAATGTGCGCAACAACGAGGAAGGTGTATTTTCCAAAGCTGCTTGGGGTGATGAAAAGCAAGGTACTACACGTTTTCAGCTATTGATAACGACATGAAACGTCCTTTCGGAAATTACAATCATTCCCCTTCTGCAGTGCCCATTGAGAATGGCTGAAATATTCGTCGGCATCATCAGGAATACCTGTAGGGAACATGTGGAATAATGTTCTTTGGGAACTTCTGAAATCTTCGTCGGGAAGGCCTGGAAACACGTCGGAAACATGTGGGAACCAAGTTGGGAGCATCTGGTACTTCCTTTGGGAACATCTCAAACTTATGTCGGTAAAGTCTTGGATCTCTCTCGGGAACATCTGGAAATTCAATTGGTGTCAGGGCAGAATTAGGTATTCAGAAGTTATTTACTCCTGCTCGGGATCTAGTGCCAAAGGAGCCATCGTGTGAAGCCATTTGGAAGCTGCATCAAATATAGGATCGGACCAGGAACAAGTAGATTACTATCTGGGGGTTGTAGGAAACGATCAAATCGCAGCTGAAGGAAATAACAGGGAGTAATGCGTGTTGGTGGCGTGTAGCACGAGACGCTTTCAATACGGTGTGGCATAAATAGAATAAATTGAATAAATGTATGTGAGTCTATGTTTATTGATACGCAGTAGGCCTACTGTCCGCTCGTCATTAGGCTTAATTGGTCTTGGTTTTCGCTGGATTGGTCGGTTCGTTGGTTGTCCCCAGTTTGGTCCCCTTGCTGCTGTTAAGTTGATTGGTCGTCAGCAGGCATGGAAAATCATTTACATTCATTTGCCTCTAACTTTTTTCATCAACAACATTTCGTAAAATGATATATGAAGCTTTTGTAGTTTTTAATATTAGCTATAACATTTGTAAAAAAATATAAATCTATATCTCTTATGTATGACGAACTAAAATGGGTAGAACTTGTTTTTGTTTTCCAATGAATGTAATTTACATTCATTTACAAACAATGGTTGGTTCTGTTCACTCTGGATCATCATGCATTTGAGATACAGATTTGAAACCTTTAAAAATTTGTAGTTCATTTCAAAATCTACAAAAGCTTCAATAATTATTTTCCGGAATTCTGTTGTTGAAAAAAGGTTGGAGGCAAACGAATGAATGCCTGAAATGAATGTAAATGATTTTCCATGCCTGGTCGTCAGTAAAGCCGTGAGGTCCCGTAGGTGGTTCGTTGAGTCAAACGGTGGTGCATGGCGTAGTGTTCCTGTACAATGAGATAACAGAACGCTGAATCCTTTCTGTGACGTTTTGAATTATTAGTGCAGTGCTAGTGCAGGGAGGGATTAGTTATGGCAGCCTTAAGAACTCTGAGCAAACGAGAACATCAGCTACGGAATTATTTGGACGGGATCCAGAAATTCGTTGAAAACTTTCAAGCGGAAAGTATGCTCGTCAGATTACCGCGCGTCTCGATGCGTTGGAGAATATTTTTGCCCGAGAAAAAAAATAGTTGCTGCTTGAAGATTACCATGAAGAAAAGAATAAGAAGAATAAGAAGAAAGAAGAAGTGAAAGATGATCGAAAGCAACAGGAAAACGATCATATTTAAAATCTGCTGGATTTCCAATCGCTTCTAATCTGTGAGACGGCAGTTGCTGGAAACCAGCAACCGCAGCCCAATTCGCAAGAGTAAAGTTAATTAAATTGCCTTCGTTCAGTGGAAGGGGTCATGAATGGGTGCCATGTCGTGATAGCTTTCGGAGTCTCACCCACAATAGCATTCTACTCACGGATAACGATAAGTTTATCCATCTCAGGTATTCTCTGTCCGGTGAGAGTCGGTACGAGAATAAGAAGCTGATCGTTAAGGCTCATCTCGACCCACTTTTCGCATTAGACAGTATCAAAAGAGAATCATACGTAGGGCTCTACCAGTTGATACGTAATTTCGAGAAGAATATCCAAATTTTGGAGAAAATTTACGAAAACCCGCAAAAATGGAGCACCATCTTGGTTTACATGGTGTGTTCTAGATTAGATTCAGCTACTCTTCGGCATTGAGAAATGTAGTAGATAGAGTTAGTGTGGAATAGAAATGAGTAGAATCGAGTAAGCGTTAAGCGTGAAAGACGGTATGTAAACGGAATCTGATTGGTTCGGGAATTTTGATACAGTTAGAGGTACAAATATGAGGTACCTAAGCTCGTTGACGGAATTCTTATGACGGACTGTGGAGAGAGCGGATGGCCAGCAAAGGACCACCAGTAGAAGGGATAGTGGCACTAGCGGACTTACAGAGGTAGCAGCAGATTCGTGGAACCGTGACCGAGGCTGGAAACCTCGGTCCAGTCACGACAATGGCACAACTCGTTAAGTGAGAACCATCCTCTTTCTTGCGAGGATGCTCCTGTCGCTCCTTGAGAGGGCAGTTGAAATTCTCCTGAAAGCGTAGATGAAATTTACCCCGAGAGGGTAGAAAAAATTCCCCAGAGAGGGTCGAAGAAATTCCTCCGAGAGGGTAGAGGACATTCCTCCGAGAAGATAGAAGAAATTCTTCCGAGAAGGTAGACGACATTCCTCCGAGAAGGTAGAAGACATTCCTGCGACAAGGTAGAAGAAATTTCTCCGAGAAGGTAGAAGAAATTCCTCCGAGAAGATACAAGACATTGCTCCAAGAGGGTAGAAGAAATTTCCTCAAGAGGGTTGATAAAATGCCCTGAGAGGGTTGATAAATTGCCCCCGATCTTCAATTAAGGAGAGTAGGAAAGTGAAAGAATGTAGTAGATAGAGTTAGTGTGGAATATTTAGAAATGAGTAGAATCGAGAGAGTGTTAAGCGTGATAGACCGTTTCTAAACGGAATCTGATTGGTTCGGGAATCTTGATACAGCTAGATTTACAAATATGAGGTGTTGACGGCATTCTTTTGACGGAATGTGGAAAGAGCGGACGACCAGCAAAGGACCACCAGTAGAAGGGATAGCGGCACTAGCGGATCAACAGAGGTAGCAGCAGATTCGTGAAACCGTGACCGAGGCTGGAAACCTCGGTCCAGTCACGACAATAGCGCAACTCGGCAAGTGAGAACCATCCTCTTTCTTGCGAAGATGCTACTGGCGATCCCTGAGAGGGCAGTTGAAATTCTCCTGAAAGGGTAGATGAAATTCCCCCTGAAACCTCGGTCCAGTCACGACAGGAAACTCATAATAACAACTGGTTCCTGGCCCAAACTGGTTAGGTAAATGTTACATGGCAGTTGGATACCTGCTGATTGTTAGTACCTATTAACACTCCGAATACGGTGGGTAAAAAACTTTACGCCGACTACGAAGCCTCCGAAAAACGTGTAACGGCTAGTTTGCAATGGCATAACTTAGCCATTTCTTAATGAATTTCAAAAATTGTGGTATTTTTAGAGTTCCTAGGGTTTGTAGATGGTTTTAATTGTAAAAATATTGAAAATAGAGTCGTCTACTTTTTTAAAAAGCGAAAAAAGTTGTTACACGTTTTTTTTGAAAGGTGTGTTTGTAGGGTTTTGCAAGTGGCGCAAGATCTATAATTTAGATTAATGGGCACAAATATTCACAATTAGCCAGAATACAGTCATGGCTCCTATATTTGGATCCTGGAGACAACGGAACGGTCCTCAAAAATCCGTAACATCCGTAAAAGTGGTCAATCCATGAACCTGATCCTAGAGCTCTGCGGTTTTTTTTTTTGAAAACATTAGGAACTATGATATAAAAAAAATTGGGTTCGTGACATAAACATGTACCTGGATGGCCATGGGATCGTCCCCCGGAAGATCCGGAACATCCGTAAAAGTGGACAATCCATGAAACTGATCCTAGAGCTCCGTGGTTTTCTTGAAAACGTTAGGAACTGTGATATTAGAATGAATTTGGGATCGTGACCAGGCATGGAAAATCATTTGCATTCATTTCGTGCATTCATTTACATTTATTTGCCCCTAACTTTTTTCATCAACAGAATTCCGCAAAATGATGTATAGAGCTTTTGTAGGTTTGGTTATTAGCTACAAGTTTTGTTAACATTTTAAATCCGCATCTCTTATGTATGACGAACCAGAGCGAACAGAAGCCACTACTGTTTTTCAGTGAATGTATTTTACATTCACTGAAAAACGGTTACAAGTTCTGCCCGCTCTAATTCGTGATGCATAAGAGATACAGATTTGATATTTGAAAAAAAGTTGTAGCTAATAACAAAACCTACTAAAGCTCTATACATCATTTTGCGGAATGCTGTTGATGAAAAAAGTTAGAGGCAAATGAATGTAAATGAATGCATGAAATGAATGTAAATGATTGTCCATGCCTGATCGTGACATAATCAAGGACTCAGATGGCCATCGGACCGTCCTCCGGAAGATCCGAAAAATCCGGAAAAGTGGAACTGATCCTAGAGCTCCACGGTTTTTTTCAAAAACACTTGGAACTGTCATATATAAATTAATTTAATAAATTATAATTTGGGAAAGTACCTTGTAGGCGGCGCTCAGCATTGTGATCGCGTGGTAGTTGCAGCAATCCAACTTGTTGCCCTTTTTGTAGATTGGGCATACAACACCTTCCATCCACTCTTCCGGTAATATCTCCTCCTCCCAAATCTTGGCAATTACCCAGTGCAGCGCTCTAGCCAGTACTTCACCA